GAACATGTACAGAAATGTAAAATGTTTCATATACATATGTATACATCCAAGGCTAACCAGGTGTAGGAATTTGTTGATCTGTGTTCCCACAACCTTGCTTAAAGTGAACATGAGACCTTAAACACATACATGTGAATCTTGCCTCACAGGTATCAGTCAGTGTTTCCCCCCTGTTTCATTTCAGATAAATTCACTTATTTTAAGAGTCTCTCAACTAAACATGGTTATAACCGTACACTGGAGTCTGGTGACAGTAGAAGTGGAATCTACAACCATGTTCATACATAAATGTGATTCGGTTTTAAGAGAATCAGGTCAGTATGTTTTCCACGGTTATCCTTTCTCACAAGTAGTGCAAAGCAGGAAGTAGTCTGCTTCAAAAGTATTTGGAATAATGGAAATGCTCTGTATCCTCTGATAAGGCGAGGGAGCTACTTGGACAGAGCATGCAGAAGACAGGAAATGTCCAACCACTCTAATACCACTGAGACTTTATACTAGGGAACTAGCAGGTTAAAGATTGGCCCGTGTCAAATGGGACCTCTGTGCCACTGAGGGGCAGAGAGAACAGCTCCTGATGCCCCACTCTGTGTCTAGTGTACTAACTTAAATATACGCTGGATTATAAATCCATTTTTAGTTGCAATCGAAGTATAAATGTAAACAAAAATTCTACTTGCTTGTGTTAACTTCACTGACACAGCATAAAAAGAACTTCATTTACATTTGTTTGTTACTGTGCATGAATGTTTAATTCCAACTGCATGTTTTTGGTCTTTTCCTCATACTGTGGTCTGTTTGCATTTCAACCACAGCAAGAAAATCCGCCTTAGGTACACTAAACATCTAATTAAGCAGCTTCATCCTGACCAAGCAGCAGCAGGAGCAGCACTGCTGTTTACAATTAATGGACCAACTGTGGTTTACTTGCCATTGGGTAAAAAACAAAAAGTCTCTATTCTCTTAACTCCTGAGTACTTATACTGCTTACAGGGTGAGTACAGATTACATGCACGTATTCATATAAACAACAAAGGTGAAAGTTAATTTAATTAAATTGAGTTTATTGCATTTTGTCACTTAAACCATTTTATTTGTTTTGAATTGCAGAATGACTCCAGTCTTGTACTCCTATTTAATAATGGTGACAATGACAGATATTACAGTTTTCATCATTTTTTGTGCAGCTCAAGGAAACTGAAACTTTCCTCACTGATAAAGAGCTCTCTGATATTCTTCACTCATGTGATAAAACAGCTTTGACACAGCTTTGCTGATCCAACTCACTTCATCTGTGCACCATCCACAGATCTCAGAGACCTGGATGCATTCCCCACATGACTGCGCGTTTGCCTTGATGCATATGCTTCCATCTGAAAGAGACGACACAAGTTCCTTTTAGCCAAGATGATACAGTCTTTTCCATTAGCTCACTAACTCAAAGCAGCTTTTGGCTGGAAAGCATCCCCCCTCCCTCCTCCTCCCTCCCTCCTCCTCCCAGACCAGAAAACTGAGTCATGCTGGGAAAAGCTCCAGACAACTCACCAAGTAATGACCTAACTCCATAAAACAAAAAACTCCAACTGTTGGCCAAAAGGACTAACAGTCATAAAACCATGAATGAAGATTTGAAAGGGGAAAAAGCATGACAACAAGCCAGTGTGACAACTTTTCTATCACTATCATTCATAATGTGTGTCAAGAGAAAAAGAAAAGAAAGAAAAAGAAAGTGTAACAATAAATCATTTCTACTTCACTATTTGATGGTTCTTGGGTGGTCTGTGTACTTTACTGACCTCTGTGAGACTTCTTACAGGGCAGTTTTCATGGAAAAAAGAAATACATACTCATAGGCTAGTACTTCTGTGCTTGAAGCTAATTGTTTAAGAAAGGACGACTATTTTTTTAAAACCCAGTCAGATGTCAGATCAAGAATAGCAGAAACAAAGGAAAAGAGTCAAAAATAAAAATCAGATATAGATCAATGAGGCAGTGATCAAGTGGAAAGAGATTCTGTGCCAGTGGGATTGGTTTAGCAGTAGTTAAACTCTACACACCTAATACAGAGATGCTCCATGAGGAGGACAGGAAGTCAGTTATAATACAGAAGATTTTTATGAAAAAAAGACCACATATACACTTAACACCTTCCTTATGTGCACACTACCAAGCCAGGAAATTCTGCCTTCTACCAAATATGTATATTTTGATACTCAGTTACTTAACTAACCAACTGGAATAAATCATCAACAGTACACCGTGAGGAAGGCTAAACCAATGCATACGTCCCAGCAGGGGTGACTTTTGTGGCTTCCAAAAAATACCTTATCCTACGCAAATCTATTAAGTCAAAAACATCAAATCCATTTTGCGTATTTTATGTCATTCTAAATGTCAGAAACAAAGACTATTCGGGGTCTTGGCGGTGGTGTGCATGCCAGGTCAGACTCGCCTCCTACTCGTCACCTTTAGGTTCAAAACATGGGACATCAGAAACTGATGGGTGACATCTCTGTGGCTAGGCCCATCTTTTATATTGTCAATGCATGTGACGATAACGTCTCTGAAGAGGAGTCTGCAAACAGTGCCTCATGTTCACACTTTGTAATTATGAAATTTATATCACGCAGGCCTAAGGAAACCCTCACATACTCGTGGAAAATATAACAGGCTTCACTCTGCTTGTTATATTGTGTGAGTGCTTGTGTTTTTTAAAAGATTGCAAAAGCCTACATGTGGCCTTGTAGCTCGGTTTTATTGCATGTAAAAAAAATAAAAAAAAAAATAAAAAAAAAAAAGGCTGTTGCTACATCAGCGGACTTTGACCCGTTTAGTTCCCTGAAACAGGTTCCTGAGAGAAACAGTTTTACATTCTTAGGATGAAAAAACAAATATTAGTAAATTAGTGCTCTCATGGCTGTACTGCAGAGGGATGAAAATACCTTGTGCAGTAGGTTAGATTATAATTAATAGTTAAGATAAGAAAAGGAACAAAACGGGAACTTTAACTTCCTACCTTGCTGTGCCAAGCTGCCACTGAGGGCTGCTGATAATGCTGCTATTAAAAGTAACCCCAGGTCCATCTGCAAAATAAAACAGAGAAAACAAAACAGGTCACTGATAGATGACATTAAAACATCTACACTGGACACATTTTTACAACAGCTGCACATGCTGAAACGGCTTTACAATCATACTACATTCTAAGAGAGCAAAGAGAAAGAGGAAGGTGCTGGCATATGTGCTGTTGTGGTTGTGGAGGTTGAATGTGGCACAGAAAAAAACTTTAAAGACATTCAAACACAGTGAGATCTGAAACTTGTGTGGCCTCCAATACAGGAAGATGGGTTTCTTTTTAAAAACATACCAGGTTTCAGATTTAATTTCATTACAGCTGCACATCATACGCTTCTATGGCACTACAGCATTGCACTTAGTTAAACCTAAATTAGTTCATTTAAGTTGACACTTTATTGTTTAATAAAATGTAATTTTTAGTTCAGC